ATGCTGTAATCGGAAGTGCACCTAGTTTCATTGAATTACGTACGAGTCGCTTTGCAGGCCATGACTAACAGCTGTGATGTCGACTGAATATATGCCTGATACGTGTCTGGTAGTGTGGGGTAGGCACGTGAGCGAAAGCTGGCCGATGCTGCCTGCGCACTGTGGATTTTCGTTGTTTGCCGTCGTCGGTCGGTGTTTATTCGAACGAGTCGGTAAAAAACGTGTAGACATTACTTTGCAAAAGTAGGGATGGTTTTTGCCGCGGTAGATGGATTAGGTCCGGCCTGCAGTTTCATCGGAGTCGTATTTACTTTTTTCTCTGTGTCTGTTGGTTTTATGAGTCGAACGATAGTTTCATGGCGATGGTTATCGAAGAGGCTAATTCATTGGTAATATGTTGGTCAAGTTGTTTTTGCCGAAAGTAATGTCTTGCGCTTGTTTCAGGCATGCTGAGATCGCCCAGTCAGCGCCAAGCGAAGAAGGTTGCCGTGCCGACTGTCCCCGGCTCCACGATGCCCCCCGTTTCGTTCAGTAAGGTGGACGGTGGTTACGTGGTAGTGGACAACGTGCGTAACTCGTCATCGTCTTATGGCAGCTTGGGTCAAGAAGACGAACGTTTTTTGTCATCGTCGGCAGTTGGAAGCGGAAGCGGTGGTAAGCAAGGCAGTTCTTTAGTCGTCATGTGACATGCGTCAAAAAAGGAACATGAATCTTGTGTGAACATTTTTGTAACCTTTGGGATGTTGGTCTACAATTACGCTTCCTTTATCGAAGAAACTTATCGCAGCCTTACAGCGCAGTACAGACGTCTGTTTCTATGTCATCAGGCAGAATACCTTATTTTATACGTAATGACTACGGCTGTGTTGCGAGTGTACCTTATAGTCCCCTGTTTCCTTTGTCACAGACTATGACTCATTTACCTGTCTCAAAAGGATGAAAGGCGAGTGACCCGACCAAAGCTTAAACGCAGTATCTACCAATCGTGAGTCCGATGATTCATGGTGTATGCGCGTTCATCCCGTAGTTTAGCGGCCGCCACTGATCTCGTCTCTAGGGTGCCAGCGATAGACGCATCTGAGCGCTTTTCCTTTCGGGGTCCATTTGCCAAGAATAGCTAGCCTTACGACAGCCGTGAATCTCCGGCACGGAGCGACATCGAAACACTGAAGCTGCTCTCCTGCCACGCTTAACTCAGATTGTATAAACACGTTAAATTATTGAACTTCTCACAGTACCGTTAGAAGTCAAAAACAGCGGTAGACGTTTCTCGAAACTAGGACCATTTCCTGGTGCAGATGGTTGTCTGCTGTTCATAGAGAAACTTGTTTGAACTCTGTAGTGATATACCTCCGCCATGTTGCCGCCGTCCACCAGACGTCCAGCCAAAAATGACAACTGACCTAACCCACTGGCGCTGATCGCCTTTCGAGATGTTCGACAAGGTCGGTTGATCGGTTGGTACTCTGCGCTGTTGCGGTCGCGACCTCTGTTTCGACCGGTCCATCTCCATTGCAGGCAGGTCATTCGGCTTCCAGAGAAAACAGTCTGACGTAATCCAGGTCGTCCTTCAGCTTTATCCAATTTTTACTCCAGCTTTTTTCTCAGTGACCCTGATATGCCGGTGCATCATCGACAGTAGCCCTCTCTACTTGCCTCTCATCTGTCTCTCTCTATTACTTATTCCGATCATGCTTTCTTCTTTGTGCCCTTCGACAGACACGACCATGGCGTCGATCGTTTAGGCAAGTCATTGGACCGAAAACTGATCGCCACCGGTGCCGGTACTCTGAACGCCAGTGTGCCATGTGCCATGTTGATGCCAGCCGTTAACCTGTGCGCCGGAGCCTACGGCACCGACGTCAAAAACAGCCGTTCATCCCGCAGACCGTGTTCCACCGAGATGGTCCTGACTACGAGTAAGTTATAAACACGTTCCATAGTTACAGTAATTAGTTTGTATTGCAAAGGCCAGTCTGCTGTTCTGTGACTAATCCCACTCTATCACACTCTCGAATCCGAGCTACGAACCTGCTACCGGTTCATAACTAAACAGGACCAGGGGGCAGGCAGTTTGACCTATCCCGCAGATGGAGATGGTATACCACTACCATACAATACAACTACGATCGTTGCGGATCTTGCTGCGAACTGGATTGTTGACGAGTGCTCATTTAAATAATGAATCAAATATGTGTATTTAAAGACCTCCGGAAGGAAGCATTGATTGGTTGCATGCTTGAATATCTATTAATGATTTTTGGTTCTCGATCGTTACTTCTAGACAG